CCCCAAAACCCCAAAACCCCAAAACCCCAAAACCCCTTAATTTCCAGTCATTATTGAATGTCTCATAAAACTCCTTTTCTCCAGTCAGGACTAGCCTAGTCTTGGGCTTCATGAAGACTGTACTGGAAGGAATCCTCTTCTTGGCGAAAAGCTCACCAGCTTATGACTGGGATTCGACTTCCTCCTTAAGTACGGGTGCATCGGTGGTGGAGACTTTGTAGTTCGATATGGCCGAGGAAGATTCGGACTTTTCGTTTTGTACGGGAGCAAAGTGGGTTTTGGAGAAAAGTGTCGACTCTGAAGGGTTGTTAAGGGATTTTTACTTGGATTTTGGGAATTTTGGGGATTTTGGGGAAAGCGAGGTTTTTGGGATGACTGGAGTGGAGAGGGGGTTGAAGGGTGGTTTTGGGGATAGAGGGGTTGCGGGGGTTGCGGGATGTACGGATAGGGGACTGGAGAGCTGAAGGAGGGGTTGAAGAGGAGGGGTTTTGGGGTTTTGAGCAGGATTTGGAGGAGTTAGGGGGTTAGGAATAGGGTTTTGTGGAATATGATGAGGTATTTACCTTTAATTTTGACAGATTCTTTCAACTGTTTGGTTTCCTAAAAATTCTGATAGAATCGGCAAACTATGAATAAGACTTACCTCCTTAGGTTTTCTACGAATAGCTTTACTATTTTGAGTTTCTTGGGTCTTTTGCTTCGAAGTCATCTTCAGATGGTTGGCTAAATTATCAAACAAAATCCCAAACTTGGCTTTGGCAGTGGCTGAGAATGCTTTTGGCCTTTCTTTGGCTCATAGAAATATTCCTTTGAAGCTTGAGACTCTGACAACTCCTTAATCGTTTCTGGAGAGCTAGATCTTGATGAGGACAGATAGTATACCTTGGGTCTATGTATCTGGAAGAAGTGCTGTTCCTTTCATTCGGATCCATGGAAGTTTTATTTGTATAATACGCTTTGAACTCTTTGGATGACTGGATGCTGTTCATCCTTTGTAAATTATGATCCAATGGGCTAGAGTCATCGTACATCTGCATAGTTGGCATCTTAAGGAACTTCCTGCTGTTGTTGACTACGTATTAGAAAATGTGTGAATACAAGAGAGTTTATCTTTCCCATTTCCCATGAATGATTGACTGGAGAGGAACCTCTTAAGGTCTTTGGAATTACTTAATGAGGCTTTCCTCTCTATTTTATGAAGGGATCATACTCTACCTCCTTGGATTCTCTTCAGATTTCCTATATGATGAATTAGCTCGGATTTCATTCTTATTAATCATGAACAATGCATATTTTGATAAATCGTGATGGAAGGGAAGCAAATCATGCAAGAAGCATTCGTTTTTAAAGTGAGAAATCGTACCTTTCTTGCTATGAACAGGAGAAAATGAGTTTTCAGGAGCAACATCTCTGCTTTGGTCCTCGTTTCCAGCCATTTTCTGCATACTTTTGATGTTCTCAAGCCTTGTCTTCTTGATATTCTGCTTGATCTTGTTAATATACTGCTTTGATGCTTTAGAGCTTCTCTGCTGACCAGCCATGCTGATAAGTATTATATAAGACATTACTTCTTGATTCTCTCTAGTCTATGCAGGCGATTTTTGATGTGACTGTGGTTTAGGACCATCTTCATCAACCCTGACCCAAAGGCTGACTTAACTTCAATACTTTCAGCATGTTTCTATGAGAGTTTTGAGATTTAGTTACCTTGTTTATAGTTTCTAGCCTGGCTGATTTCTTATTTGCTCAGAGTTTGAGTCGATGCCATATCTTTAATTTCGCTTTGAATGGAGGCATCTATAAAGCTTTGGTTATGTCCAAGGTGACTCTTAGTGAGTAAAATTGGAGAAAACTTACCTAAAACTTTAATCATCATAGTTGATTGTCTGTTAGTGGAATTCCTAAATATTTTTGATCGCTTGTTCTTCTGCTCAATATAATTCGTCTTTTTGTTCAATGTATGTTCAGAAGAGTTTTCGTGCCCAGAAGATATTGACCCATTCTCTTCTTGAGAATCTGAATTATGAGGACTATGAGCTCCTTTTGACCTGGAGACTGAATCTTTGCTTATCAAGGAATTTATTATTTCTGAATCAAGCTTGTCTCCAGAGCTATTATCAAACGCCATCATATGGGCTCTAGGGTATTATACTGGCCACTTACAGCTTTGCGGCTAGCTTTCGGCCTCCGCATGATGAGCATTCACATGATTTCCTTCTGATATTTCTAAAAGATTTAGGAATAAGCTTACTTGAATTGGTCTTTATAGTTTTCATTAGTGATCTGAAAGTCCTATTACGTTAAGCTGGATGGTGTACTTTCTTGATCTCTTGGAAGACATCTATATTTACCATAAATTTATGGATTCATCACAGGGCCTTTGAGAGTCCTTAGACTCGAATTTTGGAGAAATATAGCCGAAGAAAGTCAAGTCATACCGTTCATCACTTTTGTGGCATGTAACTCTTGAAGTTGCTCTTTAGTATCTTTTGATACGAAGCTCAAGCTGGTGCTGTGACAGGTTGTCTTTCAAGCTTACTCTGAGTTTTCAAAGTGATGTGGCTCTTCTTTCAGAACTGAGAGCTTATTTTTCTTGAACAATGAAGGCTGTGGATTACACAAATGATTTGCAAGTGCAGGCTCCTTTGGAGCCTGCACTTGCTCAGATTCTATACTTTTTAACATATCTATAGTCTTAAAGGGTTTAACATACCAGAAGTATTGGATCTCTTGGGAGACATAGATAAATCGTTCTTATTTTGAACAAGCTCCATCTTATTGCTGTCTTCTTCGGATCGAGATGAGGAGCTTTTCAAGACAAATTCTCTGAATTTCTTTGCTGAGGAGATCTCTGTCATTCTTTTTTTCCTTAAAACCCTCGCTTTGGCAGTCTTAATAGAGGGATTACTTCTTATTTTTCCCATCTCTTCAGCCTGGCTTGGGTTATCAAGGAGTTTTTCAGAGCTGAACTACTGGAATTATGAGTAAAACTACCTTGGAATCTTTAAATTTCAAGATATTGATCTGTTTTCGACTAAAATTAGGGGGCTTGCTATGTATTTTCTTTGCCATTTGAACCTTCTTGAACTGGTTAGAGCTGAACTGAATCACACTTCTGTTGTAATTTTCAAGATTTTTAAGAGCATTATAAGCACCTGAGCTGTATTTCTGGTTCAGGTTCGTGGTCGTTCTAGTCAAGCTGAGCTTCTGGCTGTTCTTGTCTATTGGATTACATGGTGAACCCACCTTGATACTTTGCAGAGTATTGGTCTCTGATCTTATTTAGCCATGACCCCAGCAGCGTGGATTGCGGATAAGGAACTGTATAAAGTGAACACACAAGCTAGTGAATTAATTAACTTCAAAAGGCAGGAGAAGTTATCTTAGCAACTTACTCTCCGAAGATTGAGAACTTCTTGTGATTGTTGCTGTCTGGCTCTCCAAACTGGAGAAAATTGTACCCTCTGTAAATCTTTCCTAGGGGATCAGAGGCAGTCTTACTTTGAATAACATCTTTCCTTGTTGTCAATAACTCATTGAGAGCTCTCTTTTGAGATTCATATTTTAGTTTTGGGATGGATGATGGTTTTGAGCCAGGCTTCCTCTTGGCTTCAGTGATTTGTGCATTTATCTGCTTTTGATCAATTTTAAAGCTTTTCTTTGATGGACTAGTCAGGTGTTATAAAATTAGAATATTCATGAATAAGTTAGAGATGCAACTTTATTTTTACATAATTTATAAGAATATTTTGAAGACTTATTTCGGGTTAAAATTATTAGAAAGTAGTTATTACATTAAATATACTATAAATACCCTTTGTTTCATCAAAAATAAGGTATGAATAATATGGATCTTACCTCATTGAGTGGTAACCTTGGATATCTGAAATAGAATTTCTTCTCAACATATTTAATTCAATTATAAATTATTTTAAAGGGGTTTTGGGGTTTTGGGGTTTTGGGGTTTTGGGGTTTTGGGG